AACTTTAGTAGTCAGGACTGGTGTCCAGCCCTGAGGCCTTCTCCTCTGATCCCCACCCCCGCTCCATCCTGTGTCCTCCCCTCCTCCCCCTCCCCTCCTCTCCCCTCCCCTCCTCCCACTCTTCCCCCACCTCGCGCCTTCAGCCACAGCTTTTATAGAGCAAGGGGCATGATGGCAGGGTCAGAGGGTAGTTATCCAAAATGGTACCATCTGTGCGCCAGGGACTCTCTACTGGTTACCTCAAGTGGGACCGCCTCTGTCATCTCAGCCGGTTATTTCCAGTGGCGCCTTCTGAAGATCAGAACAAGCCCGCCCGCGTTCGGGTCAGGGCATACATTAACTTCCAAGGGAGGTCATTGTGCGGACATGAACAAAACAAAGGGCCAAAGACGGAGTTAGTGTTATCGACACTCATATCCATTGCTTTCTTTCACAACAATTTTCTATCTCTCATGTTCATTTTTCTAGATAAACTTTAGAATTCTGTCAAGTTCTGAAAAACTTTTTTTTCTGCTCTTTTATTAGGAATCAACTGTAATTTATGGGTTAATTTAAGGAACTTTCTATCCAAGAACAGACTCCATGTGTGTTTGAACTTGCCAGTCAGTGACCCACCTTAGAGCCTCTGAACCAGCAGTTCCCTCTGCCAGAAGGTTCTTGACCCCAGGCTCCAACAGGGGTAGCTTCCTCTGCTCTTTCAAGTCTTCTCAGAAAGATCTACCCCTGACTATACTATGTATTATGCTTATTAGATATAAACATCTCTCCCTGCTAAAACATAACTTATATAGGACAGAGATGTTTGTGTTTTGTTCACTGATATATGCCAGGAGCCTCAAACAGTGACTGGCACAGAGCAGACACTCAATAAATATTTGAAGTCTTTTTTTCTTAAAGATTTTATTTTTAAGTAATCTCTACACCCAACATGGGGCTTAACTCACAACCCTGAGATCAAGAGTCACACGCTCCACCAACTGAACCAGCCAGGTGCCCCTGAAGTTTTCTTTTAGTGATAGAAATGCATGGTGTATTTTCTTTTTTTGTGTTTTTATTTCAATTCCAGT